GTCACCAGAATAATAAAAAAATTGGCGACAGTAGATATTTAGTAATGCGTCTTAATACTTACATTTATTGCTTGGCTGATTTATATCCATTGTGCACAAGGTTAATGCGTTCTGTACTTAAAAATGCCAATTTCAAAATATTATAGTGTTCACTTACCTTAAAACCTCCAAAAGGCTTCACAACATGAGCCCCATACAACTTTGGCAAAAGTGAACCAGGATAGTTCTTAATGTGACAATAATAGTTTGGAAGCATGTCACGGATCACCTATACGAAAATATATTATTAGATTGTGTTTTTTAATGACCCAAGATGTTTCTTGTAAGAATATGCGCACATATAATATGATTGATTAATTAAATTGACATAACAGCTTAAAAATACATGAAGGGATCTTTGAAAGACAATATACATGTGTGTGTATTATTCTATAAACAAGTTTGAATTCTGTCTATATCTACTATATGAAGAAATAAAAGGGTAAAGATGGAGAGAGAGTAATGCCGGGGTGCATAAGAAAACTAAGCAAGATTCTATTTATCTTTACGAAGACTACACAGAAAAAAGCAATTAACAAGTGCTTCATTTAAGGATATGAGTAAGAAAAAGAAAATTTTCAGACTTATGGTATTAAGATGATGGTATGTATTTATACATCACGAGGAGAACATAAATTTGTCATTATACAGGCAACATATATTGAAAATTTGCTACCTTAATTTCAGACTTTTTAAGGATTTTTATCATATATCTTTCGTCCTTGGACAAAAGAAACAGGCAACCGGCTTTCTTTGAAGAAACCTTCCTTAATATCTCATCGCTACAAATTGAGAGCATGTAGCCATCATGATCAACATTTTGGAGCTCGTGTAGAAGTCTGCAGCAGATAAGCAAGTGTCAAGTTCTGAGTTTTAGAAGTTACAAGGATTTAGGTAACAGAAGCTCAGGAAAATCAATGTTGGTGGATGAAAATTGTCGATGATGTGGAAAAAATACCATCATGCTCATGTTCTGAGTTCATCATGTGCAGGACAAACTTTCTTTGCTTGTTCAGCAAAATAGTACTACTATATATCTCAGGAATTCTCACCCCTTTATAACTAGTATTAGCTTTAATAAATCCATTTTCCCTTTCCTCATTTTTTGTCCTCGTAAGAGAGGAATGGAGATTCCTCAAACAAGATCAACATGCATGCAACTGCATAGAACACAATGCAAATCTATCTTCCGCACACAAGCCCAATTCTGCAGCCATTAATTTGTTTGGCAGACTGCTTTATTTGATAATATTCACTTTAATCTAACGGACCAGAAACAAATTTTCCAACTCTATTTTCTCAAGAAGCAGAACATTTTCTTCTTTGAAAAATTAGGGCACTCAAATAACAGACTGAATCAAGATAAACAGCAACTAGTAATCAAACAATTCTGAAGGAAATAAAGTACCTGAAAAGTGAAGCACAGTAATTCTTCCACTTGAAGTCAGTTACAGAATCCGGAGGTAGATTTCTAATATGCTTTGAAGAATATTGCACCCGTTTACTTTCAGAAGCTTTGATGTCAATTGATGCTATTTCCTTTGTTGGCAGTTCCATATGCTGCCCTGCAAGATAACTCAGCACTGTTACTTACAAGAAGATGTGGCTTATGTGAAGAAAAATGTGCACAAGACACGCTCTCTGGATTTGCAAAAACGTACTAAGTTGCCGATTGTTCCAAGTTAGACATACAACCTAAACACCTTTGCATATGGTAGTCAAATACTTGAAGAGCACACGGTGAACTCAAAATTCCTTCTATTACATATTTTCTTTGAGAGAAAGAAATAAGAGACAGAAGAAATCAGAAAGTTTCAAAAATTCACCCCCCGAATACCAAGTGATTTACCAGTAACCTAGTTGTAGCTATTATTGGCAATGGGTTTATTCCTTCTTTACACAGGGAGTTTAAAACATTGTTAGGCATTATCTATGGGCAGAAACTTATAGACATATCATTAAACATGCATTGCGCATTCTTAAAAGTTTTACCCTCCTTTCCCATTTCTCCCCTCCCCTACGAGACAAAAAGTTGGTGCAGAATCAATAAAATACCCTAATAATCCACAATCTATAAGTCAATTTTTTTTTTTTTTTAAAAAAAAAACTTAATTGTTGATAGTTATTAGGGCCATAAAATCAGATTATATCAGAAAGGAAAAAAAAAAATCAATGGTCCCATCTTTAACCCTGAATGGATGTTCCTTCCATCCGCTTTCCATAAACAAAATCCAATTCTCTGCAGCTCGATTATCATACACAGATTAAAATTCAAAAACGAAAAACAAAGAAGAAAAATGAATCGATTACCAACAGTACCAGCTTCGGGAACTTGGCATATCATCTGATTGAAAGAGAACAAAGAAATCAACTTTTGCAGCTAATGAAGAACAAGTAAACAAAAACAAAAACAAAAAAGACGCAAAATAAGAACGAGGAGATTACCATGAAAGGAGGTGCTCGATTAGAATCGAGAACTTCTCGAGAGAGAAGGGAAAAAAAAAAAAAAAAAAAAGCGATTTTAAAAGAGAAGGAAAATTTTTGCGTGGTTTGTATGGCGTGGAAGAATCAACGGCTTGGCGTTGATTGACAGTTGAGGGTGTGGCATTGGGCATATTTCGCGCCAATTTTAGTTAGGCTTCGGTGGGCATTCGCGTTTGGTTATCTCATAAATAACATGTTTTATTTAAATATAGTTTTTTTAAACCAAAATTTGAAATGACCAAAGAGCCCTTACATTAAAGCGAAGAATTGTGAAACAATCATTTGGATAATTGGGTAATTTTGCTAGCTTGGTATGGGTATGAGCCCGTTGATCTTTAATTGTCCGTTAAATATAAATTACACTTGAATTCTATTTGCAACATTTAAATTTTTTTAAAAAATAAATATCTATTATATATTTAACTCTGGGTTTGGGCTCATTTATTCTGTTTACTTTTTTTGTTTTTTCCTTCCTACTCGGGCTGGGCTGTTGTTGATCTTGAATTGGGTTCTTCTTCTTCTTCTTCTTCTTCTTCTTATTTTTTCTTCATTTCTTCTCGTTCTTTAATTTCTTTTTCCAGCATGAAATAAATTGACAATAATTCTACAGGTAAAATTAGTTGGTCGAATTTAATTATCATGTGTTGGCATTATTATTAGTTGTACGGGGTGGGACGAAGTGGGAGCATGACACTAGTTGCTTCAAATATTGGTGAAATGATCGTAATCCTCCATGCCTTTTCTTAGTAGGTCTCCCAAGTCTTCTTCAAATTTTGGGTCCCAATCCTCTTCAAACTTTATACACTACACTACTTTAATCATAATTGTTTTTGTACAACTACATGGAATTTTCCACTAGATACCAACTAAACAATGAGTTACTTTATTGAACATGTTCAAATAATTTTAAATTTGATTTACTATTATTATTATTTAATCGTAAAATATCTTTTAAAATAGATTATTGAAACAACTCACTTGAAGATAGAAAAGGAAAAATGAGAGAGACATTGAAATCTCATGCTTGAGCTTTCCTACCCATATGTATGTATTTTTAGTTTTGTTGTGATTTGTGCGGAAAGTGCAAGAAATTGGCGTATGCTGTGTTTTATTGGAGAATAAATAAATATATAAGTGGGCGGAGGAAGGCGGCAAAATGCAAGTTGTGGTGGACCTTGTCACTTCTCCACCAATCCCCATTGCGTGCTACTCCACTTCCCATAAATTTCAACATCAACGTTTAAATGCCAGTGAAAATGACACACACAACTATAAAACTTCTTATAAATATATATATATATATATATGTTTTAGTGTATCATCCCAACTTTCAAATTTCGACCCAAAAGAAAATAGTTAACATGTTTATTTATTAAGAAAGAAAAAAGAACTGGGTCACACTTCTTTTCACTTCCCCCCCCCCCACAATACATATGTAATTAGAAAAATTTATAATATTTAATTCAGTAAATAATATTTAAATTTATATTTAAAAAAAAATAATAATAATAGATCCGTATTGGGGTTGGAAAAAATAATATCTTAAAAAAGGAAAAATAGTGACACATCGCATATGTCATAATAAACGATAATAAATTAATAAGTAGAGTTCGTAGACGCACCATCTCGAAGCTGGCAAACCATGTTTCCCATGCTTACACCAGGAGTAGCCTCACCCCCTCTCTACCCTCCACCTATACAATTGTCTCCAAAGCAAACCCATCTTCAAAAATAACATAATAAATTCTTTCCTAACACACTCTGATCATTATATTCGATTCTGAAAAGTATACCAAACCTCAAATCTCAGGACTTCAGGCAACCCATTTTGGTCGAGGAAATAAGAAATTATTTAACTCGATTTCTCACCATTTTACTCGAGGACGTGAAATGGCAGAGCTCGCTGAAATGAAGCAGCAGCAATCTCAAGGCTTCTGAGTTTGTATTTACCAAAACTTGCACAAGGGACAAGAAAAACCACCATCCCCAGGCCATAACCTTCACTTAGAGGAGATTGTAAGCCCCCCCCCCCCCCCCCACGAAAAACATGGAAACTCGAATTAAGAAAACACGATACCTAAGCACCACGCAAGGTGACAAGAACTACCCATGCTTCCGCTACATGTTTCCTATTCTACAGCCAAACCATAAATATTTCAACACTAGATAATGGAAATAAATATACCCGCCAGTGAAGTGTACAAATATATATGTATTCATTCATGCTGACACATAAGCAATTAGAAGCAAAGCTATAAATTCCTGTAATGACAAGGCACAACAGGGACTAATTTTTGGCAAAATATAAACAGGATTCAAACTTTGTGATGCCTCTGTGAGCATATATATGTAATTCCAATGCAAAGAATAATATTCCAATATCTCGAATAAGCAGCAGCTGTATCTGCCCGTACTTTTTTTGTGTGAACTTTTGGATACCATAAGTGAAAAACGAAACGCAAAAGAGACAAAAAAAAAAAAAAAAAAAAACTAAGGATTTGCAGATGTTATTGCCCATAACACCATATTTTCAATCCTTGGAGAAACAAATCAGGGAGTAATTTCGAGTCTCGGTTCGAAGCAAAAACCAGTAAAGAGCTGAAGTGGGAACCTTTTTGTCACCGGGCACTTCTGTGACCATTTCCATTGTTTCTGGTTCATGTCATAAGTTAGAAGAGCAGGAGCTCCGTAGCTCTGGATGTAGATTATATCATCCGTGCCGCTGCTAGCAAAAACATCATCAAACTCCCCAAATCCTTGAAAAAACTTGTGAGGCATACGGGCAACCTCTTGCCACTCCTTCCCATTTAGAACCCAGATACCAATACCCTTTATTATGTCGGGGCGATCTTGCTTTCCAATTCCTCCCACCATTACCAGCTTCTCCTTCACGTTCATCAACCTGCCACATGTAAGGGGACAAGGAACCGGGATAAAGCTCCTTATCAACAAGCCATGGGAAGATCTGCTAGAAAGGTTGTATGTAATCAAGCCATGCCGGTTTTCTGGTGTGCCACCCCCAGTTGAATAAATCAAGAAGTACAATACCCCATCACAGATCACACTCTCATCACCACCTCTCCATCCTAACAGGACCTCTGTCAGAGAGGTCATCCACATCATTTTCTCCGAATCATAAACGTGAATTGAGAGATCCCACTGGAAAAAATTTCCAGGAACTTGCTTGGACTTCACAATTGCAACAGAGTATCTATGTGATGTTCGGTTCACCCATATTGAAAGTGCACTGTAGTCAGAAAATTTCAAACCTGGCGGCTCACCAAGCTTTTTCCAGTCTTTAGTGATGGGATTGCAGACATACAACTTACTTCTACTGTCATTATCCATGAAGCAAACCAACCCACAAGATGATGCAATGAACCAGTTTGATGTCTCAATGCAAGGGAGGTCAATGTTGTACCATTTCCTAAGGATGGGATCATAGGCATAGCCAAATGGTTCATCTGAGCTTGTAAACATAAAATACCAAGGTTTTTGTGAGAGGACATGTGAGAAATTCCATAAAAACCTTCTTGAACTAACAATCTCATGCCATCTTCTGCAAACAGAGCCAGCTCTGAAAATACTTGCAATTGGGAGATAAGCAAGGATTCTTTCCAACAAATCATCAGGAAGAATTAAATCTACTGATACGGCACTGCCTTCTCTGCTGCATTCATCACTAAGCTCAGAGAATGAATCAAACTCACTAATATCTCTCTCCATCTCATCCAGGCAATGGTTTATCCATGATGTCTCCCCCTCCATAATTAAAGAAATTCCTGTAACAAAAATTAAACTGCTCTCAGAAAAATAAAAACAACTAAACATAATCTAAATATAAAAGAGAGATGAGATCATAATGCTTTGTTACTAGACGTGAGACCTGTGAAAATAGAATCATCTATGAAGATGTTAGAACCAACATGGAGAAATAGACCAAGGCTTAGGCGAATATAGACTCAAGCGGTGAAGCATCAAAAAAGGAAGGATAATGAAACATAAAACAGTTGACAATCAAATACAAGGACCAAACTACAACCTAATCTGCCAAACACGTAAAAGAGATAAACAAGTAAACGTTGGAGGTAGCATCATCAGAAATAGTGTGGTGAATCACCAGTTCTCCCGTAACATTAAAAGGATATCCATAGTCGAAAGAACAAAATAAAAAAAAATTAAAACAAAAAACAATAGAATGATGCCACAAAATTTTTCCAATGTGCTTACAGGAATCAGAAAGATCTTACAGTCAGCAAGACTCCTGAATCATTACAAGCGATAAACCATAACCCTGCAACAAAAATCATTAGACTTTACATTGAAGGACATTAAACCTGATTTCATCTAGCCTAATTCATTCTCACAGATAAAAAATGAGGACAAAATGGAATCTGTGTTATATCAAATGACATAAAAAAAAAACCTATTTTCAGATGGGAAAATCAAAATCCCAAACTTGAGAACTGAAAGTAAAATCCATGACAAACTCAACCCATGTTTCGTTCAATCAATACATGCATAACCAGAAGGCAGACTCATATAAAACAACCGCATGTGAGCTTATGTTCCTAAAGAAATCGGTTGCGTACCCAGATGTGATTGCATCAAATCGAGGAAATCAACAAGATTAGATGCGTACTCAAACGAGAGAGATATATATAATCAAATTATGACAAGAAACAAAACAGTATATGAAATTAAATGCAAAAGCATTGATTAGTGGTAGAAAAATTGATCGATCAACAACATAATAGCAATACCACAAATGGATTAAAATCCTTAATCACCTCACAAACTGAAGAAGAAAATGTGAATCACTACTCTGTTACCACTGAAGGAAAACAGGATATCTAGAGAATAACACCAAGAAATGAAAAAGAAGGGTGCATTTTTCGCCAGATTTCTCACTGACGAATGTGCTAAAAAACAACATTGCGTCCTTCTTCGCAGAAACAATCTTTTCACGGTTTCAGCATCAAAACCCTAAAAATGTTCGATGACTTCATAGAAAATAATAATGTTAGGTAGCGAGAAATTGTAAAAAAAAAATATATATATATATATATATTAGGCTGGGCTTACCCATCAATCAAACATCAAAAACCCCACATAACTAAAAAGCATTACGCATCAGTAACTGAACCAACACCGCAGATGGCGGGTAGAAAACAGATCAACAAACAGAGAAAAAACAATCTCGGAAAAAAGAGAAGGAAGAAAATACTCTCACTCATCATGACCTTAATCACATACCTTGTTTCCAGCCTCAGAAACCAAATGGGTACCCGCTTATTTTCTCTAGATTCAACCAAAAGGTCGGGGGGAAGGGGGAGCGAATGTTTTGGCGCAGACAGGACATCGGCCAAGGCAAATAGGGAAAGTTATGAAGAGTGAAACTAAAAAGAAGAGTAAGCGTCTTTTAAAAGGAATATTAAAGAAGATGGAGATAATGAAATGGGTTATGTGTAGGATTTTCCTTGAAATAGCAGATAACTATGAAGTGGGTCGCCCCCGATTTGGCTAATAACCATGGGGTTCATGGCTTTGCGAAATGCAAAACCCACTTAAGAGGGGAAGAGGGAGGGAGAGAGAGAGAAGAAGGAGATAGTGGGGTAGGGGTTGGTGCTTGTAATGTTTTCTTTTTTGATACAAACAAAAACGACAGGCAGAGAGAAGGGCGGTTTTTTCTCAGGGGGTGGTGTGGCATGTTCACAGAAATGGGTGGCGCCCCTGTTTCTTTTTCTTTTTCTTTTTCTTTATTTTCTTTTTCTTTTTCTTTTTTTAATAACTTTTTATTTTAAATAAATAAATATATAAAATAGTAGATTTTGATTAGGGAAAATATATATATATATATATATATATTGGGATTTTGTCCAGAAAACAAAAAAGAACAATAATGCTGTCTTACTCATCAACTCTCCGTTTAAATGAGTTGTAAATTACAGCTTTATCTTTTTCTTATTGTAATTTAAACATGTAGTTTCTTTTTTTTTTTTTTTTTTTATTTTTTTACATAAAATTATTAATTGATCCTAAATTATTTTTTTAATAATTTTCTTCAATTTAAATGTATTTTAAACATATATTTATACATTTCCATTTCTATTAAAAAATTATATAAATTCGTATTTAAAAACTTAAATATTTATAGATACAATATTAACAATTTAATAATATTTTTTTTATAAATCATAAATAACAACAAAAGGGAAAATTAAAAAACACAAGGTAAAACTTTACAATGTGTGCGCGCAGCTGGTAATTTTTTGGCTAGAATACTTTGTATTGTTCTTATATTATTTGATTATTCTTATTTAAAATTATGTAACTTTTTTTTTTATTTTTTTATTTTAATCATACAGTTTTAAATTTTTATCAATTTGATATTTAATTATATTGATTATTGTTAAATATATGACATATGATTAATGACGTGTTAAAATCACAACAAATCATTTATGATAGGACGCATAACGCAGAAGCAACATTAAATTAAAATTCATAAAATTTTCCAAGTGTCTTGAGCTCCTTTTCTTTTAATTATTTTCTTCCTCCAAGGACCCTTCCTTCATTACTTGTTATAAAATTGTCCATTGACAGTTTTTTTTTGTGAGTATATTATAAGATTATAGTTGTGGATTTATATTATTAAATTAACTTACTATCGTATTGATTAAACTGTATTAAGTCTTAGCGAATTAAATTTATAGTAAGTAGGTTTTTTTTTATTGAGATTATTATAATGAGTTAAAAATTATAAACTAATTTTTGATTTATATAAAATTGAAGAATTGGGAATAACACATAGTTTGAATTGTCTTTGCATCTTTATATTGCATAAATTTTAACAATGAAAAAATATTTCTTTCTTCAAGAAATTACATGGTTAGATATGGTGGAATTAGAAATTAATTTTAACAATTCATGTCGTATTTAAGTGATAACAAATCAATCTCATGACAAATGTTGTTTGAAATTTTAGAGAGCCTTTGGAATAATTTTTACTTTACTGGATTTAAACCTAGTAAAAATGGCTGTGGATTTCTAGGTAATCTCGGTGTTTCAGACATATATATATATATATATATATGTATGTATATAATATCAAACTACATATAAAAGATCAGGTGTATAACTCATCTTTCACCAAATATCCTTCAATATTAATTGGGGCATGAATAATATATTCTACACTTGTAGAAAGTTCATGCGATGAAAAGCCAATCAGTTGTTCAATGACTTGGCGTAGTGGATAAATTTTTGAGTTCTGGACCAACCAAACAAGCTGCCTGCATATTCAAGTAAAGTTCAAAACAGCCTGATTATATTGTATACATACGTAGATACATACATATATACTTACATGCACATACATATGTATATACCGGGAATTAGTATACGGCATTATCCTGGAGAGTTGAATCGATATTTCTTTCTTTCTTGGTTTCTGCAGACAATGATTTGTGTGGTCACAGGCATCTAACCCACGAGTATATATATCCATTCACAAAAGATTAATGTTTTTTTTTTTTTTTTTAAATAAAAAAGAAAACGCAAGAAGACATATTAATGGTCCAAATATATATATATATATATATATATATTTTTAATCTATGAATTAATACTTATTTAAACACTTAATAATTTGTTAATTAATAATTAAAAAGATCATGACAACAAGAGTCCAGACGATAAAAACAAGAGAAAGGAATCACACGTATATATATGATATCCGATTCCTGCACTGACTTATTCTTTTGAATGTAAGAAGTAAAAACATATATTTTATATACAATGCATGAATGGAAATTATTTTAGTAGTATATATTACCTTGTAAAATAATTATAATTATAATCGGATTTGAATTCTAATCACCATCGTATTATTTAAGTTAAATGTTCTTCATAAATAATTAAATTGACTATTTAAAATAAATAAATAAAAAAAGAATTTTGAATATTTTTTTTTTAATTATGTCTCTCTGTTAATTTTATTAAGAGAATTGTGTAATTTGGTTATACTTAATTGGAACAGATTTAAATGTATTAGTTTATTTGCTAATTAACACTTGTTTTAATTATTAGATTATAAAATTTAAATTTAAATTTATATGTAATATTGTGTATAATATTATTTTAACTTTTATATATATATATATATATAAACTCTTTTTTTTTTTTTTTTTTTTTCTGAATTCTATTCTAGACATAATTTAAAAGTACAATATTTACCTGACCAGCTAAATACATCTAAATCATAATTATTAAAAAAGGTTAAGCCGGCTATTAATGTGTTAATTAATCAGTGGTATGTATTAATTGACATTGCATTTTTCCCATGTAATATTACTTTTTTAAAGACTATTGCAGATTTTCAATTCATTTTAATTAAAACAATTTTTAACTGTTATAACATATATATATATATATATATATTTTTACCCATATATCTAAAATAGTAGAAATAACTTCTATTTTACCTCTCTCACAGGGTGTTATAAGCCTGTTATCATGCTAAAAAAATAGATTTAACGGTTCAATTTGTGATTTATTGGTAAAAAAAATTTGATGGAAATTTATGTACGAAAATATTAAGTAAAAATAAATTATGTAATGTGAATGAAGTGACCTAATTTAAAAATTTGACACACTGAGATATATTTTTGTACCAAAAGGGTTTGATAGTGGCAAAACCACTTATATTTATAATATATATATATATATATATATGTATGTATAAAAGAAAAGGTGTGAGGAAAACATTTGAAACCAGAAGAGGTAGTGGAAGAGGTGTTAAACCAAACATTTGAAAATGATGTGTGAGAAAAAATCTTCTAATTATTTTCTCAGTTGTTAATTGATGACCTTGTGATTTCATTTCATTACACATCTTCATTTGGGCTTTTAAGTCAACCCTTTTTTGCTTTTGTTAGGGACAAAATTTTGTATCCCTTAAATTGATTAATGAATTAATTAATACTACTTTTTTAGAACAATAGTTTATGATTGGGAAGGCAAATTATTTCTAATTTTTCTTCTTTTAGTTAATATTAGTATTAGAGTCACTCATAATTAAAATTAATCTCTCTGCATAAAAATTTTATAAAAAAAAAGAAAAAAAAAATTTGGTATTTCTCCGTGCTACATCAAAAATGGAAATGCATTTATAATTTATAAATTAACTAAAGCTATTTATAGATTAAAACAAGCTCCAGGGCAATGGTATAATACTTATTTTTTGAAAGAAAATTCTTTTTTTATATAAAAAAAAAATATATGTCTGTATAAGTACAAAACTTTTTGTTAAAGTTGGATATGGAGGAAAAATGCTCATTGTCTGCCTATATATATATGTAGGTGATATTATATCTGTTGGAAATACTAGTGCTATGTTTGTAGAGTTCGAAGTGTCTACAATGGTAGAATTCAAAATTCTTGTCTTGATATAATGCATTATTTTCTTGGCACAGAAAAAATATTGTCTGCTAGTGGAATATTTATTTTAAAGAATAAATATGCATGAGAAATTCTCTCAAGTATTTCAAATGAAGAATTGCAATCATGCAAGTATTCCAACTGAATTTGGCTTAAAGCTAAATAAGGATCACGAAGAATGAAAAAGTTTAGACAACATACATTACAAAACGTATTTTGATTTATGTAGGTGCAAAAAGACCAGATATAATATGTTTTGCGAGTTTAATAAACAAATATATATAGAGAATCAAACTGCCATGTATTTATTTGCTACCAATAACTTATAAAGAATTATATCATTCTATAAAAAAAAAAATTGAATTTATTTAAATATCTTACTAGGAGGATTAAGATGATATAAACATCACTCGAAACTTACGTTACATTTTGCCATTTCATGGTCGTCTAAGGAGTATTCAATTGTTACCTCGTCATTGAGCAAAAGTAGAATTTTGTTACCGCAACAGTTTGTGTTTGTCATATTGTTTTGGTTGAGAAAAATTTTTGTTTTGAAGAATTATACTTCGAAGTAATATAATTCTATACGATGACAACTAAACCATGAAGCTCTCTAAAAATCCTCTCTTAAATGGGAGAAGTAAAGATGTAGATATAAAACATTAAAAGAGTAGTTAGCACACATAAACTGAAATTTCATTTTTTTAGTTATTGATTTATTCATATTGTATACTTTGTCTATTTAAATAGTTTCAATTGTTTGAATGAACGTAAAGACAAAAATTTCTAATTTACTCTACCTTCTTCATTCTCTTCTTTTATATTTTATATTATATATATATATATATATATATCCTATCATAACAAAAGATTATTACAACATTGAAGATATTTGTCACAACTATTTTTTGCATATTATCTTTTCAGTATTTTTTTTGTGTAATGGGAATATATAAAACATCTAAACTCAATAGTGATTGAAAATAATTTATTTTAAAAAGAGAGATTTTTTCTTCATTGAGGCATGCTCATACAACAATAATTAATAATGATAGAAAAGAAAATTTTGGAAAATGACTGTGCAGGTTTGGAGTTTGATCTGGGCATCAATACCTAAAACATGATAAGGCTTTAGGTACAATTGCAAGAAGGTAGTAGTGGAGCCACTGAACAGACAAAAAAAAAGAAGAAGACAAGACGTAGTTGAAGACCTACAAAGTCCCAAAAGAGAATCATTGCAAAACTCATTTGTCTTGCAAATTTGGTGAGCACAATGAGTGAAGTCCTGTTATACACACACACACACACAGACATATAGATATATGTTCCAATAAACTTAGCTACCACCAACCCTCCAAAATAATGTGTTTAGGATTGATGGTGGAATTTTAAAGCAATTAGGGTTTGTGGGGTCTTGGAAATCCACCATGTCTTTCAATTTTACTTTTTCTTTCTTCTTCAAGTGCATGTTTTGGTGGGATATGTTTGATCACTTAATTTTTCCAAAAGTAATTCATTTGGTTAAAGGTCTTGATTCCTCTTCCAATACTTAGAATTTGAGCACGTGAGGTTTAGCATGCATTTAATTTTTCGGCACTATTGAAATTTGATTATCCTAATTACATTTTATTAGAATTATAATCATCAACTTATTCAAATAGTAGCATTAATGGCAGAGAAGTAGTTCGATAATAGTGGAGTAATCCTGATTCATACACAGTTAATCTCCACATCCATGGATTTGTGTGTTTCACTTCACTAAGTAATAAGAGTAAATAATATTTACTTCCCTCAGGTATGAGGTAAAAATATAACAAAGGGTAAATATATTTTTATGGCGGAACGGATGTAAAATATATTTACCTTTTTTTTTTTTTTTTTAATAATTAAAATATATTTACCTTCATGTAAGTAAATAATAATATAACATTGTAACGTCACTTAAAATATTTATTAATATAATAATCCAGTATACGTCATATTAATTAATGGAGTGACGGATGAAGCTGGGCAGAAAAGCGGGAGACTCAAAATCAGATTCAAGAGTCCACACACCCCCTATCGCCTGTACATCCACTGTATAATGCTCCCATTTATTTTTATCAATCACTCACGTCGGCGACGACCTCCTGCCATTTCTGCAATTTGCTGAGCTACCTGCTGCAACTCGCCTATAACGCTGCCAACCCCAATCTATAACTCGACACCTCTCTCTCTCTCTCTCATTCTATACATACATGTATATCTATACATACATAGAACAGTATCTACATTTTGACTCTCCGCTTACCATGTTTGATTTTCTTACTCTTTTTTACTTTCTTAGAAACAATAATTAATCTCAAGGGGAAAAATAAAATAGCCTTCCAATGAGTTATTGGATTTAAAATGCGTTAATTGAATGTCAAATCAAGTTTAGGTTTTACTCATAACCAATGAAATTTGTACATTTATGCCTCCTCCTTCCTCTTCCAGTACAACTACAACCACGTTAGAAAAAAAGTCAAACTCATCTCCACCGTTTATTACGACTACTTCAAGCAGTTAATCAACGGTGCACACCGTTCCATCATCTATTCGTTTTATGCAATTAACATGTCTTTCTTTTTCTTTTCGTATGACAGAAAGAAAGAAAGAAGCAAGCCCACACAAACCTCATGATCACGCGTCATTGACAACCATCTTTTTCTGCACCAAGAAACAGCACAGCATGCCTCCACCGTCTGATGATGATCTCATATGAGTTTTTCCCGCCAAGTTTCGAAACCTATTCCAGTCCTTCAATGGCGACGATGCCGGCTTCGGAGAGGAAGTTGTCGAATCACCACCGTCCGAGTGATCGCTCGCCGACGTGAACGAATTCTCCCGAGAACCCTCACTCAGGGCACCGTATGAGGTATGCGTCACCATTGAAATCGACTTCTCCAACCGACGTTCCCGCCGCCGCCGCCGTACCATGAGGTCCCGGTACCCGATCGCCGACAATTCGCTCATTTTCGAGGAGAATTCAGAGCCGTCATTCACCATAGCACCGAGGTTAAGGACCCCTCGGAACCTTCCAGAAGGGCGGCGGATCTGGAGCGCCACGAAGGAAGGAGACTTCATATCCATGGCATCGGGGGGACAGCCGCCCGACGGAACCAAGTTGCTGATTAGGTAACGAACGGACCCGATGAGTTGGTCCCGGAGACAACCAACGGCGTAGATTTCGATGCAGACGCCTGAGGTCTCGCTGGAGAGAAACTCGGGACTAACTCGAAAAAAGAACTTATCGTTCCAGGTAGGGTTGTCGCCCCCAACCATGTCGACTCGAGTCCGAAGCTTGTTGGAAGGATCGACCCAAGCGAGCGCGTAAGTCTGCATCCGGCGCAGGTTACCGGCCGGCTCCTTAAGCCCCTGGGCTGAGATCAAGTTGATCTCCAATACATGCATCTCCGTGTTAATGTGGCTCCCCATCTCTGTTTCTTTGAATCTTTCTATATTCTTTTCCGCCTCCGTCTTTATTTCTTGGAGAATTAGCAGAGAAGGATCAAGAAAGAGGAAGAAAGAAATGTGATTTGATTTGATTAAAGAAGTGAGATGGAGGGAGATACATGGCAGTTGCCCGAGGAAGAAGAAGAAGAAGAAGAAGAAGAAGGGGAGATTGGGAAGGAAGAAACAATGGTGAGTAAATAAGGAAATTGGAGACAGCAGAGTTGAGGTACGTAGAAGGCGGGAAAATCGGATAGTTACAGATTAAAAGCTTATTGACTTGTTGGCGGTTACATGGGCTGGCTGGTCCAAGCTGTTTGTATAGCTATAGCCTGTAAATACTCCAAGGTCATAAATTTTTTTTTTTTTTTTTTTTTTTTTTTTTCCCAAAATTATTTATAGAAGAACCAAATTCTTTATTTCCGGAGGAAATTTTTTTATCCCATTTAAATTAGCCTTTAATTTTTAAAAAAATAAAGTATATTTTATTATAATATTACAGGGGATTTATTTTCTTCATCAATAACTGAAGTATTTTCCCATTTTATATAAAGCATAAATTTTTAAAAAATTACTGAAAATATTTATAAAATAAATTTACTATTAAACAAATCAGGCCAAAGTCATTCGCCTAGTTGACAAGGCAGAGATACCATTTGAATTCAACTTATTATTATTTAATTTGTAAAAAAATAATTATGGACAAACAAACAACCAAAAAAAAAAAAAAAAAAAAAACCGGTTGGGTAAAAAATACTTTGGAACCCAAAGACTGTCATGGTCCAAATTTACAAGATGCAGCCAGTTCATCCTACAATAGTTAGATATTGTTAATTTTTACTCAAGACTCAAACAATTTGAAGTAATTTATCGGAGATTATTTTTCTCTCTGTTTTCCAACAAAAGTATCCTTCATTTCCCAGCTTCATTTCCCATTGAATAGCTTATTTTTTCTTTTCAGGAACCTCAAATCCTCAAAACACCACATATCTCATAACCTTCATTCATACAAAGATGGTCAGAATTCAATGTATTCAAAGAAAAAGAAAATAAGAAGATTTTACCCCCCGTTGAGGAAATTGTTTATCATACAACAGAGAAAAAGGGTTGATCACACGTTGGCAAGAGATTTTTCTCACTTCTTCCCACTAAAATTGGTGACTTTTAGTGGCTGTTATAGAACTTGTATAAATGAATCAACGGCCTGGACGCATTTCTCCAAGCTCGTACCTCCCATCAACTCCAAACCCTTCATTTTACATTCCTTTTACACCACGCCTCACCAACCAACATTATCAATAAATGACCCAAAATTTGGAGGACCAAATGAAGATATTACTAAAATATCATTGTAAATGCAGTATGATGGCTTACAACAACTTAACTTAAGATCTCCGTGCACTACATCATCATCCATACACCCAGATCACATGGTCAAATATAAAGACAACTAGGAAAAACGTAGGAAAGCTTCATCGTATTATTACATCTGACAGCATGCATGAAACAGTTCACAGCCTTTAGAGACAATACAAGTACAAACCGCATTCCACGAGAAGCATATCTACAACAACCGTTTTCAGAATCTACACCAACCGTTTTCAGAATCTACACCAACCGTTTTCAGAAAAACCAGAACATGTTCACACTGCGGTACCTACGGCCCTCTCCTTCGGCATACTGTTACAAAGGGTTTTGTGCATGTTGTTCCGGATGTTGCTTTTCTAAGTTGTG